CACATCTGTTCGATCTGTTCTATAAGGCTGATTAAAAGGTGCTTTGAAGCATTTATATAGAAAAACAACCACAGAAAGGTACCAGACAGCAGGTTACCAGTACGAGCTTCTTTCCTCATCTTATTTTCGTTTTCTCTAGGACTATGCCTCTACCTTTCTTGTCTTCTCTTTGATACTTGAACCGTGCCCCCAGGACAGGGCCCGAAAAGGTGACCCTGCTTCAGAGTCTATCTATGGGCGGGAGCGGGTAAATAGAGAAAAGGAACTGAAGCCGAGTGTAGCTTTGTCAAGTGCCCGCAATCGGGCTCTCTCCACCCACCCACTTCAAGCGTCACCGTCAAACGCACTGAGCATGTAGCAACAATTTTTATCCACCCACATAACGGTCTATTGGGGCCCCGCCTTTCGTGATCAAGGAGATGTTGACCAACTTTGCAACACAGGGATCAAGGTCTTATACCAATCTATCGTTTGCACTGTTCCAGCTCGTCTATCAGTTATCATATTTAAATTTATGTTAGGGTGCAACAACTCCTTTGGGCAGTCGTAGAACATGCCTATGATTCAACTGGATGGAGTGGATAAAACATTTGAGTTTTTGAAAATAAAATATTAGTCTTGGCCGCAGTCAATACAACCGAAAGCTGGTCAAAGCACCTTGCCTCAGCCGGAACTCGAACGCGAACTTCATGCATTCCGGCCAAGAAAGCTCACCATTATATCATTATTTTCACCTTAACTCCCTAAAAGGAGGATTTTACGATAAGGTGGGTGGTGGAAATATGCCTTGTCGAAAGGTAGGCGGGCTCCCAAGGGCATGGGAACATGCGAGTTTTGCAGAGGAGAGTATGGCCGCAGCGCAGTATAGCGGGGCCGTACCCACGCTCGCGCTTTTGCAGGTAACCCTTGTCCGTCTGACTGTAGCCGTTTAAAGAACGAGAACGTTAGGCTGCTTTCATAGTTCGCATCGGTGCGGTCGGTGCGACGGTGCCGACGGCGCCGACCGCACCGACAGTGCGAAGAGCGTCAATACGCGCTCTGGCGCATGACGCGTACGTTGGGCGCAGATCGCGCGCTCCGATCGATAATCCTGGTTTTGGTGTATTTCTTGTCTTTTTCGATGTTTTTTTGCGCCGTGTTGCTTTTATTCGTGTGTTTTCTGTTCATACTTATTCTTTTATGTCTTCGATTCATACTTTTCAGTTGTTCCGCGGACGAGCGACTTCGTAGAACCCCGTCGTACTACCCCGAGTGGCTATACTGGGTGAGTTCATCATAAGCAATTTTGTTTATTCGAGTGGACTCTATAATTTTAGAAGTTGCTTTTTCTTCGATACGATTTCCTGCTGGTGTGCGAAAGGCCGCCGGATCTTGGTAATTTAATTATTCGCACACCAGCAGGAAATCGTATCGAAGAGAAAGCAACTACTGGAAACATACAGTTCACTCGAATAAACAAAATTGCTCATGATGAACTCACCGGGTCTTGAAGCCACGTTCACACGGGGTTGTACGACGTCGCTCGTCCGCGGAACAACTGAAAAGTATGAAACGAGACATAAAAGAATAGGTGTGTACAGAAAACGCACTGATAAAAGGAAGACTGCGCAAAAAATATCGAAAAGGACAA